ATTCTCATGATCCACGCTCTCTTTTTTCTGTAGTAAATTCGCTACTTGAGTTCTCTGATTCTAGCTCTTTGCCTCCCACAGTTGAAACTTGTAATGACTTTCTTCACTGTTTTCATGATAAGGTTACCGCTATTCGAGCTGCCATTGCAAACTCACCACCTGACTCTCTACTCCCAGAGCCGCCCCGGGCTACACTGGAAACATTTGAGCCTGTATCCTTATCGGACTTGGAAAAACTGGTCGCTCATCTTAAACCATCGGGGTCTCCTTGTGATGTGCTGTCCCCTAGAATTTATAAAGAGCTCTTTCCAGTGATAGGCCCTTTGCTGTTGGCAATCATAAATGGCAGTCTTACTTTTAGTATGGTTCCATCTTCGTTTAAGAAGGCTGTTATTCATCCTATGTTAAAAAAGCCGGGGCTGGATGTGACAACCTTAGTTAATTACAGGCCCATCTCAAAACTCCCTTTTCTTTCCAAACTGCTGGAGAAGGTCGTGTATTCACAATTGGTTGCCTTTATGGACACAAATGATTTATGGGAGACCGTTCAGTCAGGGTTCAGCGCAGGTCACAGCACTGAATCTGCTCTTTTAATGGTTTTTAATGACACGTTTTTAGCCTGTGACATGGACAACGATGTTGTCCTGCTATTGCTGGACTTATCTGCAGCTTTTGATACAGTCGACCACAAAGTCCTTCTGGACCAACTACAGCATTGGGTGGGGATAACTGGGCAGGCCCTCCAATGGCTTCGCTCCTACCTTCAAGACAGGACATTTAGTGTTCAGATGGGTGAGGTGACGTCACCCAGGGTGAGACTTCGTTGGGGTGTGCCACAGGGCTCTGTCCTTGGTCCTCTCCTATTTGCAGTGTATTTGCTTCCTCTTGGAGTCCTCCTTCGTCAGCATAATGTGAAATTTCAGTTTTTTGCTGATGACTGCCAGATCTATCTCCCCCTTCGACGTGGGGAGGATAGATCTGTTTCTCCTTTATTGGACTGTTTGAAGGACATAAAATGTTGGATGGCTTCTAATTTTTTGCACCTAAATGAGAGCAAAACGGAAGTCATAATGCTTAGTCCTGGCAGAAGAAATGGCTCAGGTGCTGATATTGACCTTGGCCCATTGACCCCCTATGAAAAGAAAATGGTCAGTAATTTGGGGATAAAAATTGACTCCTCACTTAATCTTGACACTCACGTAAATACAGTGGTGAGGTCCTGTTGTGGGCATCTGGTCAGGATGCCTCCTGGACGCCTCCCCGGGGAGGTGTTTCGGGCATGTCCTGCCGGCAGAAGGCCCCCGGGTCGACCCAGGACACGTTGGAGAGGTTACATCTCCAATCTGGTCCGGGAACGCCTTGGGGTCCTGCCGGAGGAGCTGGTGGACAAGGCCGGGGAGAGGACGGCCTGGAGCTCCCTAGTTGGGATGCTGCCCCCGCGACCCGGACCCGGATAAGCGGAGGAAGACGACAACGACGACGACGACGAGGTCCTGTTTTTTTAATCTGAAACAACTATCCAGGATCAGGCCCCTGCTTTCCAGAGCTCATCTGGAGTCTGCGTTGCATGCTTTCGTACTGTCACGTCAGGACTACTGTAACGCTCTGTATGCCGGTCTGGCCCAGTGCACGGCTGCACGGCTCCAATTTGTACAGAACTCAGTGGCTAGGTTCCTGACAGGTACTAGATGTCGAGATCACATTACCCCAGTGCTGGATACTCTGCACTGGCTCCTGGTGCAATATCGAGCTAAATTTAAGATCTTAACTTTTGTTTATAAGGCCCTCCAGGGCAGTGCCCCCTCTTACATTACTGCACTTTTGCACAAGTATGCTCCTTCTCGGTCTCTTCGCTCTGCCGAGCAGGGATGTCTGGTGGTCCCCCGGTCGAAAAATCGATCGAGGGGTTATCGTGCATTTTCTGTTTTGGCTCCAACTCTGTGGAATTAATTGCCATTGAGCATTAGGAAGGCGCCGTCCCTTCAAGTATTTAAAGGGACTTTACAGAGTTTTTAATTTTTATGCTCACGATTGCCCCCTCAGGCCAAAAGCGTAACGGCAGCTTCAATAGTAGGCTCATGCACGAGGCGCGCATGCTGTACGTGCACACTCCTTAACGAAAGTAACAGCTGAGACAGTCCCGTGCGTGTGTGCGTGTGTGTGTGTGTGTGTGTGTGTGTGTGTGTGTGTGTGTGTGTGTGTGTGTGTGTGTGTGTGTGTGTGTGTGTGTGTGTGTGTGTGTGTGTGTGTGTGTGTGTGTGTGTGTGTGTGAAGAAGAAGAAGGAAGAAGAAGAGGAACAAGAAGGAACAAGAAGAAGAAGGAACAAGAAGGAAGAAGGAACAAGAAGAAGAAGAAGAGGAACAAGAAGGAAGAAGAAGAAGAAGAAAAAGAAGAGGAACAAGAAGGAAGAAGAAGAAGAAGAAAAAGAAGAAGAAGGAACTAGAAGGAAGAAGAAGAAGGAACAAGAAGAAGAAGAAGAAGGAACTAGAAGGAAGAAGAAGAAGAAGAGGAACAAGAAGAAGAAGCATTGTGGCTGGAGTGACCTAGAGTGACCTGGCCTATAAGAGACCAGGTTCTGGAGGCTCTAAGGGTGGACCCCGCCCCAGGTAACGGACCCCCCAATAGATTGTTTGTTCCCCAGGAACTACGAGGGAAGGTGATTCACTGGGCACACACTGGGAGGTTTTTGATCCATCCTGGAGTGGGACGAACATTGGCCCTGATTAGGCGCTCTTTCTGGTGGTCCTCCCTCTACAAAGATGTGAAGAAGTCTGCCTGCCATGTATGTGCCCAGCAAAAAGGTGCAAATCAGTCTCCTGCAGGTCTACTCAGTCCTCTACCTGTGCCGTCCCGTCCGTGGTCCCATATTGCCTTGGACTTTGTTTGTGGATTACCACTCTCACATGGTTTTAATGTTATTTTAACCATAGTGGATAGGTTCTCCAAGGCCTGTCATCTGGTGCCATTAAAGGCCCTTCCTACTTTCGCCGTCACAGCCCAGCTCCTGATAAAGCATGTTTTCCGTCTCCATGGGATTCCAACCGAGATCCTCTCTGATCGTGGCCCCCAGTTTGTGTCCCGAGTCTGTAAGGAGTTCGCCACCGCTCTGGGAGCCCGGGTGGCTCTAACCTCAGGTTTCCATCCACAGATAATGGCCAATGTGAGCGGATGAATCAGGAGCTGGGCACCATGCTCCGCTGTGTGTGTTCCACCAACCCGTCAACCTGGAGTGACCACCTGGCTTGGGTCGAGTACGCCCATAACAGCCACCTCTCCTCCGCCACAGGTCAGTTCCCATTCGAATCTTCCCTCGGATATCAGCCCTCTCAGTTCCCCCTACGTACGGATACCACCACCACCACTCCCCAGTTCCTTCGTCGGGCCCACCGTGCATGGATGGCCACGAGATTGGCTCTGCAACGGACCGTGGAGAAGAATCAGCAGTTGGCTGACCGACACCGTCACCCGGCTCCCACCTACTCCCCTGGACAAATGATCTGGCTATCGTCTAAGGATGTTCCCCTAAAGGCAACTACGAAGAAGCTCTCCCCTAGGTTCCTTGGTCCCTTCAAAGTGGCGGCGGTTCCGAGCTCGACGACCGTGCGGCTGGATCTCCCGTCTTCTCTCCGGATTCATCCCGTGTACCACGTCTCCCTGGTCAAGCCCGTTGTCTCCAGTCCTCTGTGCCCGGTTCCGGCTCCGCCTCCCCCTGCTCAGCTTTACAAGGGAGGGCTGGTCTACAAAGTTTGGCGCATCCTCGACTCACGCCCCCGTGGTCGAGGTCTTCAATATTTGGTGGACTGGGAGGGTTACGGCCCGGAGGAGCGCTCCTGGATTCCCCGGTCTTTAATCGAGGATCCCTCCCTCATCACGGACTTCGAGGCCTCCAGATCCGGCACTGGGACGCCAGGGGACGTCCGTTGAGGGCGGGGGGGGGGGGGGGGGGGGGGGGGGCACTGTCATGTACCTGGGCAGAGGTGAGTCACACCATCTCTCTAATCAGTATTGAGCTGTTCTTACTTTGATGCTTTGGTGCTTTTAATTGATGGTCACAACATCACTGCCCGATAATCAGGAAACTATCACTAATGCACTTTTTCCCTCTAATTCTAACCCAAACTTGATTTCACAAATGTTCTCCGACACTCAACAATAAAAAATTAGAACATACCAGCTAAAACTTCCAATTCCCCCTAAAGCTAATGAAGTCCATTTCAAGTCTTTTTCAGGAGTTTATCCTTCAGAAGAATTCCTCAGACATCGCTTTGCCTTCAATGATAACTGGTGTTCGTTCTGTGTTGAACATATCGAATCAACTGTTCTTTTATTTTATGACTGTAAACACAGCAAGGTCCTCTGGGATGATGTACACTACTGGCTTTTCTCGAAGACACCAAATTTAAATGAACTTTCCAACAATGACGGAATCTTTGGGACTTTTAATGACAATAAAAAAACAGAAATTGTCTTGAATGTAATAATCATTATGGGTAAATTTTTTGTTCACAAATGTAGATTTTTGAAAACCAAACGTTCCTTTTTTACCTTTCATAAAGAACTCTGCCACGTCTTCACTTCCCTGAGGTTTATGGGGAAAAAACAAGCGGTGTATTTGCTTGTAGTTGATGAGTTGAATCTACTTGAAATCCCCTAAATTGTAGTTGTTTATTCTGTTTGTGCCCCTCCCCCTCCCCCTTAATATTTTATTATTATTATTATTTTGTCTATTTCTCTGTTTGTCATCTTTAAGCATCTTTTAGTACATAACAGCCTGCTTTGGTACTCTTTCATGTTGGAAAACGTTTCTGTTGATACGTGCCATATTTGCTGTACATTCTTCAATAAAAAAAAACTAAATAAAAACTACACTGACTCACTTCCTCCATAATGCGTCATTTCCGTTTATGGCGCGAAGCTTCCCTGTTGCTAGGAAACTCTCCTGCCGTTGCCTGGAAACCGACTCTGGTCGCGCCAAGGCTCAGCCCGAACTGGATTTCGGGATTTTAAAGCACAACAAAGTCAGCTAGAACATGGCGAACAGCCACCGGAGGAATGTTCTGGTTACCTCGTGTCTGAAGACGCCGGTAGACCCAAACACAAAGGCGCCGTTAGCCTCATACGAGCGGGGGAGAGCCTCGGCGTCAGGACGCCTGGACAACCGGGACTGCGAGAAAGAGGTAACACGTTCCAGACTTCATTAGTTAACTTTTTAATGACACTTTTAAACGACACAGCACTCTAAACGTACAGAGCAGTGTGGTGAGCTGGAAATACGGTAAATGACCTTAACCTTCAAAATGGCTCAAATCAACAATAAAATAACACGTTTCTATCCATTCTGGCTGAAGCTAAGCGTGGTCTTAGAGTCTGGCGACAGCTTCAGGTCACTGATCTGTACAACCTGCTGCCCTGACTATTTTTGGATCTCCAGCTTCACTAGATTACTAGGTCACATTCAGGTGGTAATCAATAGTGGGACACAAGGCTGCTGTCCTTCCATGCAGGGTGTTTAAGTGAAGCTCTGAAATAATTTTCTGTAGTAAGATGTTTTAATAAGGCCAGATATCTGATTCAACGTGCCAGCTGAGATCTTTGTGCTAAGCCGAGTCCTGTGAGCCACCATATGGCTGTTGTCTCTGCTGCTACGCAATAATGAGCTTAGTCCTGTAGGAGCCCGCTGTGCATGGCTGCAGTGCTTTAGGGCAAACTCCCATTCGATTAAAGCCTGACTTCCCATTACATAGTGCTACAAAACATTAGGGATGTGTACTGGTGAAATTCCGGCGATACGACATGTATCACAATACAGGAGAGACGATACGATATATCACGATATATCGCGATACATTCAGTCAGACGTTATTAGCAATTTTTTTGACTGTAATTATTGTAGGAATATTCAATAAAGAGCCCAAACTGGTTCTCAGCATGTTTAACGTGACTAATCTGAACCATAATAGAAGGATTTACATTTCAGTGGTGGAAACGAAACCCATTGTTCACTAGGGGCTGCATGACTTAATTTATTTTAAAGTCGACAGTCAAGTAATGAAAATCGAGTCGACTTTGACTAGTCGTTGATGACGTCATACACCTGAAGCGGCGCGGGGGTGGGGGGGTCGGTTGGTTCGCTGGAGTTTTTGACAATTAAACTTGTGCCCACATTTTCAAAGTTAAACACATCTCTTTCAACGATGGTAGTTTCTGTATCTATAGAGCTCCGGACGTCACATGACTCTCAGAGAGTAGACGCCATGTTGGCAGGCAACAAAGGTAAACAAAATGAACGGGATCAGCTTGGATTTTACTTCGTCGGAGTTTACTTCACACTTTAAAACCGAAGAAATAATTTTATATAGTCAGAAATTAAATTGACTAAACATCTCTGACCCTTACTGTGCCCCTGGGATACTTTTTAACAATGCCAGAAGCTGTCGGAGCAGACTTCTTACGGACCTGGCCGGGGAACGCCTTGGGATTCCCCCGGAGGAGCTGGCCCAAGTGGCTGGGGAGAGGGAAGTCTGGGCGTCTCGACTTAGGCTACTGCCCCCGCGACCCGACTCCGGATAAGTGGATGAAAATGGATGGATGGACAAATAACATAGATTTACATGTAAGAAGTTTAGAGTGCTGTACTGTTTGAATGTATAAACTGAACGCCAAGAGAAATCACTAGTTTGATTTTTTTCTGTGAATAAAATAAAAATGTCAGGCAGGAGCGTCTCAGGATCTGTCTGAGATCTGTCTCTGTGAGACAGATAATAGCAATCCAAAGAGCTTTTTATGTGTGATCTGACAATTGATCAACCATTGCTTAAAAATGAAATACAGCTTAGCCGGTTAATTGCTGTGATCATAAAACACGTAAACGGCAGCACGCAGAACTCACGAGGCAACGTTTTACGTGACGTTTACTTGTTGCTATGAGTAATAAGACAGAAAAAGCCACGCCAAAATAAGTTTAGGAAGCCCACTAAGAATCGTAATAAAAGCATTTAAAATAAATACCATACACAGTTGAGGAAACGTTGGTTTAAGTACCTGATATGAAGCGGTCGCTGCATAAGTGAAAACCTTTACTCTCGGGATCCCACAGCTTCATTTCAGCCCGGTCACTAGCGCGTTTTATTACAATGATCCAACGTTTGCGGCGCTCCGGATCTTGGGGAATCCTGTAGATGGCTCATTCCTTATGTCGTCCGTGTCTGTTCTGCATCCTGGGGCACAACAGGAATCTACCATATTTCCTGTCTGATTGAGTTTTCTGACAATAACAAATAGTCCAGCTGCGGGCTTCTGCCTGCCAAGATGGCGCTGTTTCGATTTGAACTGTTGCATGCCGGGAGAAGTGACGTCAACTCCCGGAGCTCTATACCGCTCCGCTTCAGCCCTCTCCCCCCTCCCCCTGCTTCAGCCCTCTCCCCCCTCCCCCTGCTTCAGCCCTCTCCCCCCTCCCCCTGTGCAGTGGCCGCAAACTCACTGATGCGCCTGCAGCCTCTCGGAGTTCCTGCTGCTCTAAACATTAAAATAATTATTTCATTTTCTGTTCCTCACTTCTGATTACCTTCAATGGTGTCTGTTTGTTGCAACCAGCAGGTACAAAAACTAACTTGTTTTTATTTGACTGTTTTTCTGTCCTGCCTGTTTATTATCTTCCTGCATCTCCCCTCAGTCCTAAAGAGAAACTGCTACCTGGGTTCATATATATTCACCTTATGAGTTACCTTTGAACTGCAGTTCTAAAAGATCTACCGACCGCTAAAACAGCGGATTGCTCGCCGGCCGCTCCACAGCAGCGAAACGCATCAGGCACAAATAAAAGAATAAAAGACAGAAAACATAAAAGGAAATGAGCCGACATGAACGATCGCGTGTTAAATTAGTTTTTGAGGTGGCGACACCTGATTTGATAATGTTACTGTGGCCGTGCTCAGGACGCAGATGTCTGGAGCGCGTCAACAATCAGAGCTTTGCATGCGCAAGCTGGTTAAGGTTAGGATGGGGGTGAGGGGAATGTTAAATTGCAAGAGGGTAAAGGTCACAATTTGGTTAAATGTCCGTTTTACAGCGGGCGTCAGATAACGACGACACAGAGTGTCGCCTCCCAACGCGCAGGGGCTCGTCACCTGCTGTCTTTTCCGAGGACTGCATCTTGTCGCTCATTATTACGTGACAGCGACTAGTCGACAGGCATAAAAAGTCACTACAGAGCGGTGAAGTCGACTAGTCGACTAGTTCATACAACCCCTATTGTACACTGCTGCCAACTAGCATTCGGCCTTTCAATTGCACCAAAATAAAAGAGAATACACAAATTTTTGTAACTTCTTCCAAAAATTTGATACACAGCTTTTGAATATCAATGTAATATCGCAGGAAATATATCAGGATATATTACCATATCGATATTTTCTTACATCCCTACAAAACATTTATCTCGTGTTGACAATTGTTTACCTGAGGCCCTTATCTAACCGGGTGACCGACTGACTCCTGTGTCACCATTTCAGCTGGAGTATCAGGACTCGGAGTCAGATTTCTGTGAGGAGGACTGTGTGGGGAAGACCAGCCCTCACATGAGAAACGGCTACACAAGAGGGCGCCCCGACCTGAGTGAAATCTTTTTCTCCAATGAAGAGTATTACAGCAAGCTGGAGGAGCTGAAGAAGACCCATCTGAGCACCATGGCCAAGCTGGAAAACATGTACGGGCAGAAGCTGCAATTCAGGCCGACTGAGCCTATAGACGGGACCATGCTGGACGCATGGCACAGGTGTGTGTGTGTGGGGGGGGGGCTTTGGGTCGCGATTACTGTTATATTCACTTCAGTAATGTTCATCAGCTTACAAAAAGAATGTATTTAGCAACAAATTTAAATTTTTGGAAACTCTTTACGATAAGTGTCACTTTATTAACATTACTTAGTGCATTATTGAGCATTAATAACCAAAGGGTCACATTATTAACATTCTCAATGTTAACCAGTTCAAACCGTTGTAGCGTTAGCGTACGTATTTATTTTGGTTGCTTTTTAAGCTCAATACACTACACTACATTTGACCAATAAGATGTGAATTTCTATATAAATATGGAAATCCGGTCTGATTGGTCTTTGAATGTTTAACCAGAAGATTTAGAATTCTTTGTTTATTCAGGGATCGTAAGACACTTCGTATCAAGCGCTGGCCCAAAATCGGCCGATCCAATCGAGTGTCTGCTCTGTGCTGCAGGGTGGGAATTAGTTTTGACGATAGTATCAAGCGCCCAGCTAAGCAAAACAAACTTGGCCGCACCAGTTGACACTCCTTAGCAAACATTGTCACGACAGCAACGCTGTGTCCGCAGCAAAAAATACTCACGGTTGGACGTCTTACATTTGTTACAACATATGTAAAATTCCCTAAAAATCCATTCAGATATGTTTGTGCGTGTCCACAGCTACACGTATAACTGTTATTTTGACAACTACTTATGAGTAGTTCGGCATATAGCAAATTGTGAATCAGTTGTACGTGGACATCCACTAGGTGACAACCTGTACATGTCAAAGAGATGGCTCAATTGGTAAAGCCGGGTGGACACTGGGAGACTTTTTCACTTTTTGGAGCCGATTTTCCCCTCTTGTGAGAATCTCCAAGATCGGGGCGAGTTTTGGAATGAGTGTAGTATACAGGGGGCTACGAGAGGAGATTAGCGCCACATGAACAGCTACCGATCAGCAATCGTGAGCTCGAGCTGCAAGCTGCTGCAAAAAGTACCAGAACTGATCACGGCGCATGCGCAAACATGCATCAACACGGCTCGCCAGCTATTTACGTTGGTCGTTCTTATTTATAAAATAAGGTGGGGGGGGGGTTCCACAAAAATAAACAATAATTAACAAGAGTCTGCTTCTAGACCTGCAGAAAGAGAAAAAAAATGGGACACACAACAATACATCAGGAGCAAACTATCACTGCGTTAGCCTGATGATGAAATATAAAATCAACATTGTTTAAC